CTTTGTTGGGAGATATTATTTCTCTGTATCAAGTATAATCCTCTCCTACTGCTTTTGTTCAGATCTGGTTCGATTCATGGTTCAAGATTGATCCTTGAAAAATATGATTTTTCTAAAATAGGGAATGCAATTCCCAGTTAAGGGGAGAGAAATTTTTTAAATTCGCCCACCTTATTCCGCAAGATTTGGGCGCATCCATACGATGGATATTTCATTCCTTCACGGTCCGGTTTTGAAAATCATGATATACACACACCATTCATATATGATCCATATTTGGAAAGGGGTGGATCCATATCAGAACCGATTATAGATTAAATTTGATAAGGGCACTACAAGAAAATAGACCTATAGCTACGACCAAATCCATAGCATAAATGCAAAAAAAACGTAGCTATAGGTCTATAGCTACGGACTGGCTACGATCAAGATACGGTAGTTACAATCGCAGTAGCTATAGGCAATAACTACGGCTGAACGTATCCGTAGCTACAATTTACCTATAGCCACGGCTTGTGCCCGTGGCTAAAGCCTAATTTAGCTACGAATCCACATTGCTCGTAACAAAAGAACATCAATCTATAGCTACGGATATTAATTGGCCGTAGCTTGAGAAATAACCTATAGCTACGGTTCAAGTTGTCAGTAGCATTAACAATAATCTATAGCTATAGTTGTGTATTACTACGGTTTATAATGACTGTAGCTAAAAACATAAATCTATAACTACGGTCTACATTGACTGTAGCTAAAACATAAACTTATAATGGTTAGATTCTAAAATTATTTTTTGAAACCTCCTTTCCTGTATTGAATACAAACACAGATAGTTCATAATATAAGATGGAACTTAAATTTAAAACTCCATTAAAAGATTATATAATAAAAAATGAATTATATCTCAAGGTGCTTTAACATCTATGTATTTGCTACAAATTCAAGGTTCTTGAATACATGAAACTCAATCCCCAAAAAAAAAACTTGGCATGTAAAATTTGATCAAATGTCTCCATCCACACGTGTGAAGTATCCTCCTTTACCATTTTCAACCTATAAGAAAATAATAGAAAATAAGTTAGAAATCACATTTTTGGAGATATAAAATCATGTATGAAAATTTAGTTAAGTATGCAATATAAACTTGCCTTCCGTATTGTAAAACCTAACCAAGCTTTAATGCTTGTTTACTGTACTTATTTTCCAATAATTTTCAGATTTAATACCTGCAAGTTGTAATAAGTAAAGTGATATGGACTTGAATAGAAGGCTGGAAACTCGGGATTTTTGTTCCTTGATTAAAAGGTTTTGTTGGTGATCTCTTTTCTCCTCTCTCCTCCATTCTTTCTTCTCTATTCCCACTTTATTTTCACTCCTCTCTCTCCTCATCATCTCTTCTCTCTTTCTCTCTCCTCCTAAGATATTCCCTCTAAAATTCTTTAAATTCAGTCCCATTTTGTATATCAGGTTGCATTAACCTGATAATAGGAAGATGTC